CTCCTCCTTCGCCTTCTCCTTCTCCCAGACCCTCACCGCAGAACCAAGACTGCAAAATCCCACTAAATCTTCCGGCTCCTCCTCCTCCTTCTCCTCATCCTCCTCTTCCTCCTCCGCCTCCACCTCCTCCTCTTTCTCCTCATCCCCCGCCCACCCTGCGGACACGAACAAACCCTAGCCCACAGCCGTGCATGCGCGGGCGAGAGCGGACAGGAAGGAGGGGAGGGACAAGAACGCGAAGGGGAGCAGGGCACCACGAGAGGGACATGGCAGGACAAAAATGTACCGATAACGCTACTCCACGGGCCTCTGCTGGGGTGCGTCGTGGCCAAAAGTTCGAGGAGGATCCAGCCGATGCGACGAGGGCTCTCCAGGAGAAGCAGCGGTGTCAGCATCTTTTCCTCCTCTGAGAGACAGGTGACCTTGGGAGAACCTCCCAACCTGCCCCCGCCTACATACACGGCAAACTCCTGCAACGAGACGGCGTGGAATCTGGCCTCTGCCACCGCGTGAAACCGTGCCACATTGACACTGGGCCTCTGCTGTCGGGGCACCCTCCGCCGGAGTCTGGGGCTATCTCGCCGTCCGGCGCAGCCTCGGGCAGCACCGTCCGAGGCGCTCCTAGGCCCCTGGATTCCTTAAAATCCGGGCGCAGCATATCTTACAGTCGACATATAAGACAAGAAATCTTGCGATGAGGAATACGGGGGCAAATTCTTCGCAGATCTTCGAGGTCCGCAAGATGCCCCAGAGCTTCTGCGAAGGCCACCAGAGGTACCTGCTGACAGGCCGACGTCTTATTTGACGTGCCTACTGTAGCCGATCCCCATCCCCACTGGCATGGCCTTGGCTCCACTTGCCGACTCGCCCCCGTAGGTGGGGCTGTGCGCTGGTCACTTCAGGGTCTGCAGGGCCTGTCCCTACCTGGGGGGTGGGCTGATAGGGCTGAGCTACCATGGCCCAGTGGGGATTGGGATCTGTTGGACGATGCTGGCGCGCGTCGCATTTTCTGTACCCCAGGCGTATTCATGAGGCTTCAGGCCCCGAGGCCCTCCGCCCTCCGACCTCGCGTACCGATTCGGCACAAGAAACGCAGCAGAAAGATTGTGTCGCGAGCTCCTGTCGTGGTGTTTTACGGTGTTGCTGTTTCCGTGCGGGCCCCTAACGGTGCGGTGACCATACTTTTTGGTGAGTCAGTGGGGATTTGCGGTCACCATATGGTTTTTGTGACTTGGGTCGTTCTCCGCGGATGTCTCCGGCAACTGAGGCCTTCCAAGTCCTGAAACTGGGCGGTGACAGATCATGCGGTGAGGTCTCTTGGGATTTCGAGGTCACCGCACGGTCTGTCACCGCACCAGTCTGGGACCCCCAGGAGATATTTTTTTTCCGCCAATCAGAGCTTGCTTCTGTAGGGGTCCTAGCGGATATAAAGCTGAGGTGAGGTGAGCGGCCGATTTCGGTGGCCGGGGCCGGGTGCCAGGGTGCCCGGGGGTGCCCGGGTGGCCGATTTCGGTGGCCGGGCCAGGGTGCCCTGGTGCCCGGGTGCCCGGGGGTGCCCGGGTGCCCGGGGGTGCCCGGGTGCCCGGGGGCGCCCAATAGCCCAATAGCCCAGTAGCCCTATAGCCCTATAGCCCTATAGCCCTATAGCCCTGTAGCCCTATAGCCTTATATCCCTATAGCCCTAATATCCTTATATCCCTATAGCCCTATAGCCCCATAGCCCATATAGCTCTATAGCCCCATAGCCCTATAGCCCTATGGCCCTATAGGTCACAGTCCTATAGCCCTATAGCCCGATAGCCCTACAGCCCGATAGCCGTATAGCCCAATAGCCCTATAGCCCTATAGCCCTAACAAAAATCTGATTGGGGTTTTTCTCCGGTATCATTTTTCTTTTTCCCCGCGATAACCCAACTTATTCGGTGGGTGGGGGGAGGCGCTGGCCGCTAACCTAACCTTCTCGCTCTGGGAAACTCCGCGCATGCCCGCGCCCCCCATTCGGACCTGCGCAACCGACAAAATCAGGTTATTTGAGGGTAAGGGGGCAAGGGGGCCCGATAACCCATGTGATCGCCGGACCCCACAAAAACAGCCTCCTGCCCTGGGGAAGTGGTCGCGAGGTGAGGAGGTCCACGCATCGACGTCATCGAGGCGCCGCATGTCTGGCGAAGGACATGCTGGGGCCTGCTGGGGACGACCCTGCCTGGGCTGCCTGCCTGTGCGCAACTCCGAGGGCACTTGCCACCCCTGCCCCGACCTGCCTGAGCCCACTGCGGATCGGCCCCCCGATCCAGGCCCGATCCCAGAGAGCAGCCCAGATGCGGATCCAGATCCTAGGATCCGATCCTTCGAGCCCGAGTGGTGGGCCTAGCGCAGATGAGTCCGCGGGGAGAGGTGCAACAGTACTTGCAATGGTTGGTGCCTGGATGCAACAGCTAGAGCGCTGGATGTACTGTTGCACGCAAGAGTCCACAAGTAGTGAACGATTGCAACTCTTGCCGCCCCCGATCTGCGCCAGACCCGCTTCTCTAGCTTAGAGATCTACAGGGTCAGGATCAAAACCCGATCCGTGGAGCGGGTTCTGCTAGGCTCTCGGGCCCGTCTTGGTGAGCCCCGGGCTCTCCGGGCTCACGATGATCAGCATCAGCCCCAGACACATGACCCAGCCGAAGAAGACGCCGGGCCCCGCCCGCGGAGCACTTTGGCTGAGCAGTCCAGGGATGGGACGCACAGAGACATACTAGTACTATACGTTCTCCTTGGAGGCGCTCGTCCCGACCCGAATATATAGTATACCGCTATTGTGATATATCGTGTCCCGAGCGGTGTGGCCAGAAAACGCCCGCCACCACGCATATACTATGAGATTTCTCGGTGCACTCGTCGCCCCAAGCGGGGGCGACGCACACATAGCAGTAATATGTTGGGGTGGCGCCGAAGGAAATCCCAGTCGCCCCTCGACGTTTGCCCGTTTCGCCTCCTCCGCATCGAGCCTCGTCGCACGGCCACGCCGTGCCTCTGACCACGTTCCGCGGTCGCGCGGCGATGCTGCGAAGTATGGTTGGCGCTTGACAAGACGACCGCAACGGGTCGCTTCCAAAATATGGCGCTCGCCTCAGCGCCGCGCACATTCGTTTCAAACATGTGCAAGAGCTTCACGGGTTGAGGACAGTTCGTTTCAAACATGTGCAAAAGCTTCGCGAACTGAGGGCGGTTCCTTTCTCAAAATGCGGTTCTCGCCTTGGCGCCGCGCACATTCATTCTAAACATTTGCATCGGCTGAGGGCGGCTCATGTTCAAAATGTGGTTCTCGCCGTAGCGCCGCGCACGTACATTCTGAATTTTGACAGGGTGTCACTGATTCCATGGCGAATGTACGAGAAATTGCGTTTTGGAGCGATTCCGGACTTCCAGGTCGTAGCACTTCCGTTGATTCGCAATGTTGAAATCCCAGAAATGGCATTATGGTGCGATTCTGGATCGTCGGGACACAACAATCAGGTAGACTCGTGGCTTTGAAATCATGAGAACGGTTTCGTGGTACGCTTCCGCATGTTCAAACGGTTGTCTCTCAAAGGGGCACTTTCCTCAGTGGAAATGAATCTTTGTATGGGGCCTATGACGAGGAGCCTCGAGGGAGGGTATCCTCAAACATCGTTGATGAGTCTTGGGCTTAGACTGACTCACACTCTTGGCGTACGACGTCTGACCCATGTCTCTAATGCACTGCATGCTCCTCCATATCCCTGATCAAGGCAACGCCTCTGGGCATCGTTTCTGGATGGGCGGGTGGGGTTACGCGATGCGTCTAGAATTGAGCTCCAGCTGGGGCGCGGCGCGCATTTTTCGCACGCAACTCCGTCGACGCGCGAGCGGGCGAAAATGTCGCTGTCGCCTCGCCGCCGCACAGATGCCGGCTGAAAGTGGAGCTCCCGCCCCGACGCGGCGCATGTTTTTCACTCGCCCATGTTTGGGGGCCCACGAGAGTGGACGACTTGTCGCCCTCGCCCAAGCTCCGTGTGCATTTCGCTGGGAAGTGGCGTTCCCGCGCAGGCGCTGCGCATGGTTCGTTCGCCCAATCACATGACAGCGGCAGCGGCAGCGTGGCCGCGCGAGAGCGGGCGAAATGCCGACCTCGCCCAAGCGCCGCGCAGCTTGCGAGTGAAAGCGGCAGTCCTGTGTCAGCGCGGCGCATGCTTCGTCTTCGCAGCGCACATCGGAAGTTTTGCAACTCCCGCCCCTGCGCGGCCCACTTAAACTTTCCTTCGCCAAGTCGAAGGAAATAAGAGCACGCGAGGGCATTCCGCTTGCGAGGTGGGAGCGCGCTCCGGTATCAAAATCAGGTGTTGCCACAACTGACTCTTATGTTCTCAGGGGGAGGGTGGGAATAGGCGGGGCCCTCTGATTCGCTCGATCTGGCTAACTTGATCTCCCCCTCGTTCTCCTACTCCCCCTTCCTCCCATCCTCCCTCCCTCCCTCCTCGCCTCTACCTTAACCTCCTACTCCTGCTCCTCCTCCTCCTCCTCCTCCTCCTCCTCCTCCTCCTCCTCCTCCTCCTCCTCCTCCTCTTTTTCTTCTTCATCATCATCATCATCATCACCACCACCACCACCATCACCACCCAAATCACAATCAGCGTCACGATCACCATCAATATCATGATCAGCAGCAGCATCAGCATCAGCATCAGCGTCAGCATCACCACCATCACCATCACCACCACCATCACCATCACCACCACAGACAATCCATCGTCCTCCTCGCCATCCCTCCTCCCTCTCCTCATCCACACGTTTAACCCAGCTCCTCCTCCTCCCCCTCCTCCTCCTCTCCTCCGCCTCCTCCCCCTCCTCCTCCTCCCGCTCCCTCCCCCTCCTCATCCTCCTCCTCCTCCTCCTCCTTCCTACTCCTCCTCCTCCTCTCCTCCTCCTCTCTGGTCCTCCCTCCTCCTTCCTCCTCCTCCTCCTCCTCCTCCTCCTCCTCCTCGTCCTCCTCCTCTCCCTCCTCCTCCTCCCCCCTCCATCCTCCTTCCCCCCTCCTCCTCCCCCTCCTCCTCCTCCCGCCGCGCCCTCCCTCCCCTCCTCCTCCTCCTCCTCCTCCTCCTCCTCCTCCTCTCCTCCTCCTCCTCCTTCCTCTCCTCCCCTCCTCCTCGCCTCCTCCTCCTCCTCCTCCTCCTCCTCCTCCCCTCCTCCCCTCCTCCTCCCCTCCTCCTCCTCCTCCTCCTCCTCCTGGTCCTCCTCCTGGTCCTCCTCCTCCTCCTCGTCCTCCTCCTCATCCTCGTCCTCCTCCCCCTCCTCTTCCTCCCCCATGCCCAGCCGACAGCACCCAGCGCCCCAGGTGCCCGGCGCCGCCGGGCCATGGCCACGGACCGAGAGCTCCCGCTGGAAGCAAGTGCGGGGCGCGGGGGGGGAGGGGGCCGGCGGAGCCCGCGCTGGCGCCCTCCGGACACGAAGATCGAGCTCTTGCTCACCTCTCGGGGGGCAGAAAGTGACTACCTGCACCAGGCCACCCCAGCCCAACCCGCGTGCGGGTTGCATCTCCGTCCTCTCCACGCTTCGGGGTGCCTCCCCCCATTTGGACTGGGGGGCAACTTGGGGCCTTCGGGTTGGGCTGGGGCGGTTCGGTGGGTAGTGAGACGGTGCACAGTCATCGCGCTGCCATGAGGAACGCTGAATAGGGGACGAAGGGCCTTCTCTGGCCATGGCGAGCCTCGGCCACGGGGAGGTTCCCCGACCTGCATCTGAGGAGCGCCCCTCCCCCCCACAATCGTTCCCCTCCCGAGCCCAAGGCTGTCCTCACGGCAGCGTCTTGAACTATCACTGCCACGCCGCGGTGTGGAAACCATCAGCGCACTGCTGTTGAAACAAATACCGGATCTTCGAGCAAAAAAGGAGGAATGACAAGCTGCCGGGCTCCCACCTGCAGCGTGTCACTGATGCGCTCTTCCCATCCCGAACCTCTCGGGGCGGACGAGAAGGGGAGGGTAGCAACAGGGGGGCTGGCGAATCAGCTCACGCAGCTGGCCTCTCCGGCGCTTCTCGGCGCCAGAGGTGCCCGTGCAATTGTCGAGGAACGCGCGGGTCGAGACCAGCTGCAAGTGGCAGATTCCGTGTCGCGGAAACCCAAACAAGTTGCCATCTGCTGGGGGCGCATGTTTCACTTCCGCCAGCTTCCGCTGGCCTGTCGCCGAGGAAGATCCTCGAAGGCCAGGCCCTCACCGGAGCGCCCCGTGCCGCGACGATGTCGACATCGAGTTCTGGCACCGCGTGGGTCGCTCCGCCGGCGGCGCAAATCTTTCCGTATCGGCCGATCCCTGGCCGCTGGCGACGCCCATTACCTGGCAAGCCCCTGCGCACCTCTGGTGACGGAGGTGGACGAGGCAAAGGCATCATGGGCATGGGAGGGCGCCGACTGCGGTCGGGAACCTTTGCTGGGAAAACGTCAGGCCTTGGGCTCGGGGAGCTCGGGTTGGCCTGGCGGGGCCGTCAGAAAAGTTGTCGAGACCCGAATCTGAAATTTGGCGCGAATTCCCACTGCAAGCAACCCACGAGAACTGGACCGTTAGAACCAACGACGGGCGTCTTACGTTTCACCGAGTTTGCTCAGAGTGTCGCGGCGACGGCCCTGGCAACACGCTATAGCGTGTCGCTCCGCTCCGCGAGGCAGGGGGCTTGGAAAAATTCGGGACATACTGGAAGTGGATAGCGTGCCGCGCGGAAGCGTGATGGGCCAGAACCGGCGGCGCGACACGTTGGGCCAAAGCCAAAGCTTTTGACCGCAACACAGGAGGAGGAGGAGGAGGAGGAGGAGGAGGAGGAGGAGGATCGAGAGTCGAGAGGAAGATCGAGATCGGCCGAGAGCAGCTGGCTGCCCCGGCCGGCCGGCTGGCCAGCCGCGTGCAGCCGCTGCCTGGCCGCCTCCCTCCTCACCCGTCCTTTCCACCCAACCACCCCGCACCCTCCTCACCCCCCCTCTGGGGCCATGGAGGGCGACGTCGACGTGGCAATCGTCGACGTTGCCCACAACGCGACGCTGGCGCCGGCGGCGCGCGGGCAGCGGCGGCAGCGCCAGGGAAGCGAGGAGGCGGACATGCAGGTGGACGAGGAGGGGGCGGGTGGCGCGGGGGCGGCCGCGGGACCGGCCTGGGCCATTTCCGCCCCCACGTCGCGGAGCACGGTCATGTGCGCGACATGTTCGGAGAAGTCCAGGACGCCTCGAGTACGCCGCGGCGGGCCTGGCGCACGGGTGCATCACATAGGGTGTGCAGCCCACCTGTGCGGCCCGGTCGAGAGGCTAGCGGGCTGGAGCGCTCTTCGCCAGGAGAAGCAGCTCGAAGCGCAAGCCGCGCACGCGGCTGCAGACGGAGGGGGAGGAGCTGGAGCTGGAGCTGGAGGAGCGGAACATGCCAGCGGGCTGGGAGAGGGGGAGCCGCCGGTGCTGCCGCCGCGGACGCAGGTGCAGTACGGGGAGCTCTTGCGCATGGAATTCTGGGACACGGTCTCTTGGGACTCCTTGCACGACCCCGTCTCCGCGGTGCGCGTGGTGCCATCGGCCGTCCGTTACGCCATCGCGAGCCTCCAGAAGGTCCTGGCCAACGCGGCGCTCGGCGCTGGCGGAACACCAGAGGAGGCGCGGCACCTGAAAGCATTCCTGTTCGTGGACCGGAGACGCTGGCGCGGGCTCTGGCCCGGCGCGTCAGGCTGG